TATATATATATATATATATATATACATATATAAATTATTTATTTAAGAGAATTATATATTTCCATTGATTGAATTATATATTTCATTGAATGATCATATACCTTATTAATCACACCACCACTTTCTGCAACACCTTCTGCTCCAACCATTACCATATCTATGTGTTCCATCACATATCCTACTGCAGAATCTAGTATCACTGTACACGATATTCCCAACTTTGTTAAGCTCTGACACATCTCTTCTCTGTTTGAAGGAAAAAATTAAAGTTAAAAAAAAAAGATAAGAACACAAATTAAAGTTGATAATCAAAAAAAATATGTATTTTATCATTTAAAAACTTTACATATACCCATTATTGTCAGATGTTGATGTGACATACACTTCAAATATTTTATTACTTGCAGCAGCTTCCTTCATTGCTTGTAGCACTACTCTTGATTTTGAATGCGTAAGTATAGTCTAATAAAATAATAAAAGTCAGAAAATAATGAAAATATTGCAAATAATTTAGATTTGTCCTTACCGAGCCATCAGTAATAAAGTGTGCTGCAACCTTGGCTACTTTTCCTCGAGCTGCAACTAATTTCTCATAGAATACTTTTCCTCTTTCCAACATGATCCCTTTGCATTCTGCGATCGACTAATAAAAAAATAAGCATCAACAAGTTACATTATTTAAAGATTAAACTTCAAGAAATTTATTTTCAGAGTATAAAACAAAATTTAAACGTTAAGTGTTCTTACAGGTGTATCCAATGTCGCTAATGTGATGAAACGGAGAAACAATTCACTTCCTGAAGCAATCGCAGTGACTGGAGTTTCTGTGGAGCGCATAGCGTCAATTGCATGCTGTAAGCAAATTCGAAGCTCCTGAACTGTTTCTGCTACAAAACCAAGAAGAGCATAAAATAATACTTTGTATACGCATTTTTTGGACATTACAATAAAATATTAAAAATATAATGCATGCACACACAAAATGTTATATTTTTTAAATATTGTAATCCAAGAAATTCACTCAACACAAATGTATATAATAAGGATCAATATATATTTATATTAATGTGTTTATATTAAATAATAATCTTAAAATACACATGTATATATTTTATATCAAGATATATAAGTATATTTCTAACAATACTTACATTTAGAATGTTTTAATACTTTCAATAAGGTGCGAATGGCAGCCATGCCAGCAGAAACATCTTTCTCATTTTTTATAATGCTGTTGAAATATTGGCATATTTCTGTGAAAGTTTGTCAAATAATTATTTTTAGATTCTCATTTGACAATTTAAAATATTTCCCACTATAATCCTGGTGGAAATATTTTGGCAATTATTTATTTTAATTGCCTTACTTTCAATACTGATAAAATTAAGTTTATTCGATATGTTCTTTCACAAAATAAACAAGAGAATCTAATGGAAAAAATATCTATAATGTTAAACAAAGATGAAATGATCATTGTGTTACAGTGGCTCTTGTTGGAAAGCAAATATTGTCAATAAATATATACATACTTCATTTTGTACATTTTTTTCTATCAATGTACATGTTCACATTGCAATATTAGTATGATAAGTACAATAGATATTTTTACCTGAAAGATTGACAAACCGTGTCAGATTCAACAATTAATATCTCACTTTCTGGTAAAGTGATACTTTTTACAGCCAGATTCTTTTGCTTCATGAATGAGTATAATTTTAATTAGATGACTTAGATAAATTAGATAACTTAGACAATTTGAATAATTATCAAATTCATCAGTTCTTCAAAATATACAATATATAACATCATCAGATAAGGAGATAAAAGTACAACGCTGATTTCATGTACCTTCTTTGTCCATTATGACCTGTTATTTTGATTATAAATGATCGTGATGATTGGTGACAATAAATTAACAAAACAGAAGCAAGTTCACTTTATATTCAGTATTAATATACAAGATATTGCATAAAATATTATGTACTGTCAATATCAAAATTCGAAACACCCGACTAAAACCTGACACTTCGCCACTGATCCAAGGTTATGTTCAGATCATGATGGAAGCATGGTGAAAATATACACATATGTATATTATCACCATGGATGGAAGGATTATAGTTCCAGCACACCAACGCGATATTCATCGCGTGCGACACGTGATATCCAATGAGAGTATACCTTTAGAATGAAAACATCGTCGGTAAAGCTGTACATTCATTGAACATCAGGTATCACGCGCGACGAACATCATACTGGTACAGTATATACAGTAGCACAACTCTCCTGATTTTGTTTCCCAAAATGGAGTGCGCATGCGCGAAATAAGTAAGTTGCTCAGTAATGTCGTTTAAACTTCTATCTTTCTTCCTTTTTCCGTTCTCTCTTTCAGGGCCATTTAAATACTGTTTCTCTTTAACGATTTAAGTACCTTGTTTGTTTTCTAGCTGGATTGCTTTCGTTTTAGCTAAAAAAATCTGCGTTTTGTGTGATGCAATTCTAATAATTTACTAAAATGCAAGCGATCTAGTAGAAAAACAAGCATCGTGTGTTGCAGTCGTCAATTAAAATATTTTTACAGTATAATATTTGTATCATACAACATTTATATAATTTTATATCTTCTTATTTTTTTTATTTTGCAGTGCATTACAATTATAAATCTAGCTTTTAGTTTTATTACATTTAGATTAAACTTTGATGTACAAACGACCTAGAGAGAGAG